TCTCTCCGTGTTTCCTTCCTGCTGACTTCATGTTTTCTCGCCATGTTTCCTCCGTCATGTTTTCTCTCTCACTCGGCATGTGTCTTTCCTCTGTTCGCTGGTCGCGTCAATGTTGTCCTATGTCATGTTGTGGCTCTCCTCCATGGTTCTGCTCCTGCAGTTTCATGTGTCTCTCCTCCATGTTTCTCGGCCTCGCTCCATGTTTGTCTCTCCTTCTGTATTCTCGATCCGTCGCCTGTTTGCGCTCACTCCGATGGTTTCGCTCCTGTCAGTTTCGCGTCCGCCAGGGGTCTCGCCGGCATGGTTCGCTAGGTGGCGCTCCCGTCATGAGTGCTGCTTCCTCCATGTTTTGCTCTCCTGCAGGGTCAGGTTTATCAACGCCTCGCAGTTTTTCGCCTTCGGTGTTCTCTCACTGTCACGGTGGCGTGCGCCGCCATGGGGCTCGCCGTCAGGGTGGTTCTCTCCTCCTGGTCGCGCCGGTGCGTTTCTCTCCTGCATGTGTCTGAGCCTCCAGGGTTCTCTCCGCCATGTGTGCGCGCCTTCGGGTTTCGCGCCTCCAGGGCTCGCCCTCTTTCATGTGTCAAAAGGGGTCCGGACTCCTCCATGTTTCTGTTCTCGGGGTCCTGTCGTTGCTCTCCTGCAGGTGCGTTTTCTCTCCTCATGTTTCCTCTCCTACAGGTTTGTCGTCTCTTCATGTTTTCATTTTTCTGTCCATTGTTTCTCGCCTCCCTTGTTTCTCTCCTCCCTGCCATGTTTCGCTCGCGGTGTCGATTTGTCCTCCCTACAGTGTGTCGCTCCTTCATTTTTTCATTGTCTGTCCATGTTTCTCTCCTCCGATGTGTCCTCCTCCATTTTCTCTCCTGTCGGTCGCTCCTGGCGTGTTGCTCTCTCTCCGGCATGTGTCTCTCCTTCATGTTTGCTCTCCGGTCCTGGTTTCAGGTTCTCTACTTCATGTTTCTCTCCTCTCGCTCCTTCCTTTTGACCTTTTAGACATATGTTATGGTTAGTGCGATCCGGGATCCATGGGACGACCCTACCCTAAACCTTAACCAATGTAGGGACGTCCCGAAGATTCCAGTTAGCAAGGTCCCATTTGTTATACAGCCGAGCTGCGCTATCACTTCATTTAACCTAGTGAGTGTGTGACTCTGTGTGTTTGTGTTACAGCCCGGATGCCCAGACTTTATTCCGGCCCATCACCCAGCAGGTATTTTCTATTAGCCTCTGTGTCCCATGTGTGTGTGTGTACTGTGTCTGTACGTGTGGTGTGTGTGCCTGTGTATTTGAGTGTGTCTCGCTGTGTGTTTACAGCTGTCTCGTCTCCCACGTGTCTGCCATCAAGTCACTCGAGAAGCTGAGTCACTCAGATCTCTTCAATTTGTATGCATTTACATTTGTATGCATGAGTTCTAAATGGCACCCTATCCCCTATGGGCCCTGGGTCAGAAGTAGTGTACTAAAGTGGGAAATAGGGTGCAATTTGGAAACGCACCCTTGTTTTGAAGAAGTTTTAGTTTATCTTTAGTCAATTTATTTTCCTTTATCTCTTTTTATTAGAAGATTTATTTTGACTTTTGTTTAAAATGACATCCTTGCCTGTGTAGACTTAAGTTAAACTTAGCTTGACCCCCCCCCCATTGTTAAACTACTTCTATCTCTATGGTTCACTCAGGGTAGTAGCATCACGTTGACGTCCTGTATCTGTGTGTTTCATTTCCTTGTCCTCTGTTCTAACTCTGCACCGCAGCAGAAAAATATGCCCCCTTCTCAGCTTTTTCCTTCGATTGTCCTCTCTCTGTCACACACACACACACACACACACCCACACACACAACTGAAACTGAAACGGTTGTGAAAAGAGGAAGTCCAGTAAAAAGAGTACACTGGCCCTCTGTACTAACATGACCCTGTGTCCTTCTCAACACCCATTGGAGGATAAGGTCAGAGGGGAGGGACCTCTGGCTTTCTCATCCAGTGGGTTTTGAGAAGGAGACGAGGAGAGAGAACACGAGAAGTATGCAATTGAGATCTTCCCCTTTTGTTTTAGTGTGTGTGTTAGGTTGTGTGTGTGTGTGTGTGTGTGTCACTATTTGGCTAGAGAGGACTAGGCTACAGGGACTTCTAACCAGTGATAACTGCTGATCACAACTGAAACTGGCAAGGTTCCACGCTAAGGATATATACTGAACAAAAATATAAACGCAACATGCAACAATTTCAAAGATTTTACTGAGTTACAGTTCATATAAGGAAATCACTCAATTGAAAAAAAATCATTAGGCCCTAATCTATGGATGTCACATGACTGGGAAGGGGGCGCAAAATCTGGGTTGACCTCTAAGCAGATTATAATCAGAAAAAACATATTTAAGAACTTGTTTTATTTTAATAAATATATTTTGAACTGTACAGTTAAAGTTAAAAAAATATGTTTTATTGTAACATACACTGGATAGGTGCAGTGAAATGTGCTGCTTTACAGGGTCAGCCATAGTAGTACGGAGCCCCATGGAGCAAATTAGGGTTAAGTGCCTTGCATCAGGTCAACTAACACAACAGAGGACCACAACAGAACATTAACATTTTGTGAACATTTAAAAACAACACCGATTACATTCAACTACATTCACAGCCAGTCAAACAGAACTTCAATCAAAGTTTCAATATGGGGGTTTGTGGTTTATATCAGAGAGTAGTTGAAATGAGAGACAGGTTTCCAAACCAAAGCTCTGTGATGTTACAAGTGGGTGAAATTTGTCAGGCAAGAACACACAAAAACCACCTGAACTTGGTCACAGTGACTGAAATTGGTCTCTCAGTGGGTGAGAGGGATTCCGTTCTGTGACATCACAATGCCATGACATCGCCCGGACACTGTGAGTGGGTGGAATGGCGGGAGCCTGTTTAATGATTGGTTGTCTTGTGTGACATCACAATGCCATGACATCACCCGGACACTGTGAGTGGGTGGAATGGCGGGAGCCTGTTTAACGATTGGCTGACAGTTCCAAGTCTTGTTCCAAGTCTAGTGTGACATCACAATGCCATTGCTTCACAATACTGTGATGCCACAGTGTCATGCTCTCCAGAGTTGTAGAGTTCAGTGGGTGGGTGGAATGGCGGGAGCCTGTTTAACCACTCAAGTGTGTGAACTTGTATGTAACTGTGTGTAATTATGAGTGTGTGACTGAACGCCTTGAATGGGCATATTATTGAATGACGTCGTCACACAATAACCTCAGTCCTAGCCTCAACCCCCGCCCTGCCGTGTTCCCCCAGTACCCCCTCCATCACCCCCTTAATCCAGCTTCCTTTAACCCTTTCATCACCCCCCTGATCCAGCTTCCTTTCCCCCTAGATTACAGCCCTTGGTTGCGTCTCATACGGCACCCTATTCCCTATATAGTGCAGTACTTTTGACCAGGACCGACAGGGCTGGCCCATAGGGTTCTCTGTAGAGAATAGGGTGTTGTTTGGAACGCAACCCATCTTCGGGGGGGGGGGGGGGGGGGGGTCACAGAGACTATTGGAAGGCAGCCCTTCTTCTGGGGGGGGGGGGGGGGGTGTGTGACTGTGACTGTGTGATTGTGTGTGTGTGTCCAAACAGACAATGCCTGCTTTACACATCGAACCCGTTTAAGCAGATCTCATCCTCCTCCTGTCTTTATATTTCTGGTCTTTTTACGCTGCCTCAGCACTCTGGAACGTTCCACACTTCACTGCCTGTTAGAGTGAAATCTAACTAATGAAGTATTGTGAGAAGGTTTCTAATAGGGGTGTTAAAGCATGAAACAACTATAACTCTAAAACCTTCGAAACCATAAACTGTTGGAAGAGATAAACCATACTGTAGGGATAGTTGTGTGTGTAGTGGTGTGTGTGTGTGTGTGGTGTGTGTTTGTGTGGTTGCAGGTTACTGTTTGGAAGAGTGTGTGTGGTGTGGTGTGGTTTGCAGGGTTACTGTTTGCAGGCAGATGTGTGTGTGTTGTGGGTTGTGTGGTTGTGTGTTGTGTGTGGTTGCAGGGTTACTGTTGGAAGAGTGTGTGTGTGTGTGTGTGGTTGCAGGGTTACTGTTGGAAGAGTGTGTTTTTTTGTGTGTTGTTGCAGGTTACTGTTGGAAGAGTGTTGTGTGTGTGTGTGGTTTGCCAGGGTTAACTGTTGGATAGATTGGGTGTGTGTGTTGGTTGGCCGGGTTTGTTTTACTGTGTTTCTCTTAGTGCTGACTGAGCTTCTTTGAGGCCACACTGACTCACTGTACAAATGACTTGACCATATGAACAGTTGGAAGCTTGTCCATCTTGTTAGCAAACTTTGGATGTGGCCTGGAATTGCAGTCCCTCAGGGTAAGGGTTGAACTGGCTGGTCCCTTGAGTATAGCATTTGTGAGTCTACTTGCATGTTTGCCATGACTCTTCCTTAAGAGGTATGTGGAAGTTGCTTGGAGGGTGAAGTTATAATATAATAATATAATATGCCATTTAGCAGACGCTTTTATCCAAAGCGACTTACAGTCATGCGTGCATACATTTTTTGTGTATGGGTGGTCCCGGGGATCGAACCCACGACCTTAGCGTTACAAGCGCCGTGCTCTACCAGCTGAGCTACAAGTTGCCCCTAGACGAGGTGGAATAATGTTGAGGTGTGGTGTGTCTGCATCTGCTGTATCCTGTAGTACATTGTTTTATTGAATTATCATCTTATGAGATGTTTGTTCTCCGGTACCATTGTGAATGAGACCCTGGTCTCAATTGGGCTCCCTTGAATAAATAAAAGATAAATAAAAAAATAAAATGATTCTATCTAGGGGAAACTTCACTCTGGAGCAAGTTGCAATAGTAATCTCACAGCATCATCAGAAGATCATCGTCGTGGGAACAGAGGGGTGTGGAGGTGGCCCGGGGGTCCGGGGTCATGGTGAGGGTTTGGCGAGACATCTTAGAGGGAGGAGGGGCGCGGGGGTGGGAGGGGGCACGGTGGCCGCGTCACCCTACTGTTTACCTGGCCCCGTGGGTACTCTGACGGACCCTGCTGCTGCTGCGGAGGGGAGGGAGGGAGGGAGGGCTTGCGGAGGGAGGTAGGTAGGGAGGTGAGAGAGATAGCGAGCACAGAGAGATAGAGCGGGAGATAGCGCGAGTAGCGATCGATCGCAAGCTACGTCAGCGCGCTCTAGCCTCATCTATCACTCGCTCGCCGAGCTCGGCTAGCGAGCGCCTCGCTCGCGCTCGATAGCTCGCTCGCTCGCGTGCCCGGCGCGCTCGTGTCTCTTCGCGCGCGCGCGCTCTCTCGCGCGCTCTCGTCTCTCTGGCGTCGGGCGCTCTTCGCTCTGCCATCGCTCTCGCGAGCGACGCGCAGCGGCCTCTCTCTCCTCTCTCTCCTCTCGCTCTCTCGTCTGCTCTTCTCTCTCTCTCTCTTCTCTCTATGCTGCCTCTCTCTCAGCCTCTCTTCTTCGGCGCTCTCCTCCTCATCCTCTCTCTCTCTCTCTCTCTTCTCTCTCTCTCGTCACTCTCCTGCCAGGCTATGTGAACACTGCCCCACAAAATGAGGTGGAAACTGAGCTGCACTTCCTAACCTCCTGGCAAGTGTAGGCCATCATTGTAAATAAGAATATGTTCTTAACTGACTTACCTAGTTAAATAAAGGTTTAAAAAATAAAATAATGTATGACCATATTTTGCTCAGATTACACAGACCCAGAAAGATTTCGAAAACAAATCCAATTTTGATAAACTCCCATATCTATTGGGTGAAATACCACAGTGTGCCATCACAGCAGCAACAATGTGTGACCTGTTGCCACAAGAAAAGGGCAACCAGTGAAGAATAAACACCATTGTAAATACAACCCATATTTATGTTTATTTATTTTTCCTTTGGTACTGTTTGCACATCATTATAACACTGTATATAGACATAATATGACATTTGAAATGTCTTTATTCTTTTGGAACTTTTGCGAGTGTCATTTATTTCACTTGCTTTGGCAATGTTAACAAACGAGCCTATCAGACGAGCTAAATCACTTCTATGCTCGCTTCGAGGCAAGCAACACTGAAGCATGCATGAGAGCATCAGCTGTTCTGGATTACTATGTGATCACGCTCTCCGTAGCCGATGTGAGTAAGACTTTTAAGCAGGTCAACATTCACAAGGCTGCAGGGCCAGAAAGATTACCAGGACGTGTACTCCGAGCATGCGCTGACCAACTGGCAAGTGTCTTCACTGACATTTTCAACATGTCCCTGACTGAGTCTGTAATACCAACATGTTTCAAGCAGACCACCATAGTCCCTGTGCCCAAGAACACTAAAATAACCTGCCTAAATGTCTACCGACCCGTAGCACTCACGTCTGTAGCCATGAAGTGCTTTGAAAGGCTGGTCATGGCTCACATCAACACCATTATCCCAGAAACCCTAGACCCCACTCCAATTTGCATACGGCCCCAACAGATCCACAGATGATGCAATCTCTTTTGCACTCCACACTGCCCTTTCCCACCTGGACAAGAGGAACACCTACGTGAGAATGCTATTCATTGACTACAGCTCAGCGTTCAACCCCATAGTGCCCTCAAAGCTCATCACTAAGCTAAGGACCCTGGGACTAAACACCTACCTCTGCAACTGGATCCTGGACTTCCTGACGGGCCGCCCCCCAGGTGGTAAGGGTAGGTAACAACACATCTGCCACGCTGATCCTCAACACGGGGGCCCCTCAGGGCTACATGCTCAGTCCCCTCCTGTACTCCCTGTTCACCCATGACTGCATGGCCAGGCACGACTCCAACACCATCATTAAGTTTGCCGACGACACAACAGTGGTAGGCCTGATCACCGATAACGATGAGACAGCCTATAGGGAGGAGGTCAGAGACCTGGCCGTGTGGTGCCAGGATAACAACCTCTCCCTCAACGTGATCAAGACAAAGGAGATGATTGTGGACTACAGGAAAAAAAAGAGGACTGAGCACACCCCATTCTATTATCACCACCGATAAATCTGATCAGGACTGAGCACACCCTACAAATTATCAACGAACCTACCAGGTACAACCCTAAATCCGTAAACATGGGTACCCTCATAGATATCATCCTGACTAACATACCCTCTAAATACACCTCAGCTGTCTTCAACCAGGATCTCAGCGATCACTGCCTTATTGCCTGCGTCCGTAACGGGTCCGCGGTCAAACGACCACCCCTCATCACTGTCTAACGCTCCCTAAAACACTTTAGCGAGCAGGCCTTCCTAATTGACCTGGCCCAGGTATCCTGGATGGATATAGATCTCATTCCGTCAGTAGAGGATGCCTGGTTGTTCCTTAAAAGTAATTTCCTCTCAATCTTAAATAAACAATGCCCCATTCAAAAAATACAGAACTAAGAACCGATATAGCCCTGGTTCTCCTCAGACTTGACTGCCCTTGACCAGCACAAAAACATCCTGTGGCGTACTGCATTAGCATCAAATAGCCCCCGCGATATGCAACTTTCAGGGAAGTTAGGAACCAATATACACAAGCAGTCAGGAAAGCAAAGGCTAACTTTTTCAAACAGAAAATTTGCATCCTGTAGCACTAACTCCAAAAAGTTTTGGGACACTGTAAAGTCCATGGAGTATAAGAGCACTTCCTCCCAGTTGCCCCACTGCACTGAGGCTAGGAAACACTATCACCACCGATAAATCTACAATAATCGAGAATTTCAACAAGCATTTTGCTACAGCTGGCCATGCTTTCCATCTGGCTACCACTACCCCGGCCACCAACTCTGCACCCTCCGCTGCAACTTGCCCATGCCCCCCCCGCTTCTCCTTCACACAAATTCAGACAGCTGATGTTCTGAAAGAGCTGCAAAATCTGGACCCCTACAAATCAGCTGGGCTAGACAATCTGGACCCTTTCTTTCTAAAACTAGCCGCCGAAATTGTCGCAACCCCTATTACTAGTCTGTTCAACCTCTCTTTCATAACGTCTGAGATCCCCAGAGATTGGAAAGCTGCCGCGGTCATCCCCCTCTTCAAAGGGGGGGTGACACTCTAGATCCAAACTGCTACAGACCTATATCCATCCTGCCCTGCCTTTCGAAAGTATTTGAAAGCCAAGTTAACAAACAGAATCACCGACCATTTCGAATACCACCGTACCTTCTCCGCTATGCAATCCGGTTTCCGAGCTGGTCATGGGTGCACTTCAGCCACACTCAAGGTCCTAAACGATATTATAAACCGCGATTGATAATAGACAGTACTGTGCAGCCGTCTTCATCGACCTGGCCAAGGCTTTCGACTCTGTCAACCACCGCATTCTTATTGGCAGACTAAATAGCCTTGGTTTCTCAAATGACTGCCTCGCCTGGTTCACCAACTACTTCTCAGATAGAGTTCAGTGTGTCAAATCGGAGGGCCTGTTGTCTGGACCTATGGCAGTCTCTATGGGGGTGCCACAGGGTTCAATTCTTGGGCCGACACTTTTCTCTGTGTATATCAATGATGTCGCTCTTGCTGCTGGTGACTCTCAGATCCACCTCTACGCAGACGACACCATTTTGTATACATCTGGCCCTTCATTGGACACTGTGTTAACAAACCTCCAAACGAGCTTCAATGCCATACAACACTCCTTCAGTAGCCTCCAACTGCTCTTAAACACTAGTAAAACTAAATGCATGCTTTTCAATCGAACGCTGCTGGCATCCGCCCACCCGACTAGAATCACCACTCTCGACGGGTCTGACCTAGAGTATGTGGACAACTACAAATACCTAGGTGTCTGGTTAGACTGTAAACTCTCCTTCCAGACTCACATTAAGAATCTCCAATCCAAAGTTAAATCTAGAATCGGCTTCCTATTTCGCAACAAAGCCTCCTTCACTCATGCTGCCAAACATGCCCTCGTAAAACTGACTATCCTACCGATCCTTGACTTCGGCGATGTCATTTACAAAATAGCCTCCAACACTCTACTCAGCAAACTGGATGTAGTCTATCACAGTGCCATCCGTTTTGTCTCCAAAGCCCCATACACTACCCACCACTGTGACCTGTACGCTCTTGTTGGCTGGTCCTCACTACATGTTCGTCGTCAAAACCCACTGGCTCCAGGCCATCTATAAATCACTGCTAGGCAAATCCCCCGCCTTATCTTAGCTCATTGGTCACCATAGCAGCACCCACCCGTAGTCTGCGCTCCAGCAGGTATATCTCACTGGTCATTCCCAAAGCCAACACCTCCTTTGGCCGCCATTCCTTCCAGTTCTCTGCTGCCAATGACTGGAACGAATTGCAAAAATCTCTGAAGCTGGAGACCTCTTATCCCCCTCACTAACTTTAAGCATCAGTTGTCAGAGCACCTTACCGATCACTGCACCTGTACACAGCCCATCTGAAATTAGCCCACCCAACTACCTCATCCCTATATTGTTATATATTTTGCTCTTTTGCACCCCAGTATCTCTATTTGCACATAATCTCTTGCACATCTAGCATTCCAGTGTTAATACTATTGTAATTATTTTGCACTATAGCCTATGTATTGCTTTACCTCCATAACTTGCTACATTTGCACCACTGTATATATATTTTCTGTTGTATTTTTGACTTTATGTTTTTTTACCCCATATGTAACTCTGTGTTGTTTTTATCGCACTGCTTTGCTTTATCTTGGCCAGGTCGCAGTTGTAAATGAGAACTTGTTCTCAACTGGCTTACCTGGTTAAATAAAGGTTAAATAAAAAAATAAAAAAAATTCTCATCAACGGGCTGTAGTGGAACAGGTTGAGAGCTTCAAGTTCCTTGGTGTCCACATCACCAACAAACTATCATGGTCCAAACACACCAAGACAGTCGTGAAGAGGGCACGACAAAGCCTATTCCCCTCAGGAGACTGAAAAGATTTGGCATGGGTCCTCAGATCCTCAAAGAGTTATACAGCTGCACCATTGAGAGCATCCTGACTGGTTGCATCACTGCCTGGTATGGCAACTGCTCAGCCTCTGACCGCAAGCCACTACAGAGGGTAGTGCGTACGGCCCAGTACATCACTGGGGCCAAGCTTCCTGCCATCCAGGACCTCTATACCAGGCGGTGTCAGAGGAAGGCCCTAAAAATTGTCAAAGACTCCAGCCACCCTAGTCATAGACTGTTCTCTCTGCTACCGCACGGCAAGCGGGAACCGGCGCGCCAAGTCTAGGTCCAAAAGGCTTCTTAACAGCTTCTACCCCGAAGCCATAAGACTCCTGAACAGCTAATCATGGCTACCGGACTATTACTCTGTTTATTATCTATGCATAGTCACTTTAATGCATATTACCTCAATTACCTCGACTAACCTGTGCCCTCGCACATTGACTCTGTACCGGTACCCCCCTGTATATAGCCTCCCTACTCTAATTTTATTTTACTGCTGCTCTTTAATTATTTACTGCTGCTCTTTAATTAAACTTATCTATTTTTTACTAAATACATTTTGATTTGATATGTTTCCCTTGCAACTAAAGCCGTTTGAATTGAATAGAGAGAGGTAAGGGGGAGAGAGTGAATCTCTATGTCACATTACATGGTCTATTTGCATTGCAGGAGACCTTATCAGAGATGACCCTTAAAGCTAACCATTACACACACACACACACACACACACACACACACACACACACACACACACAACCACACACAACCAAATGACCTGATCAGGAAATACTATTGGCTGTAGTAATAGAGGATAGCGACATGTTTGGCATGACAATAATTGACAAGGAGTTGATAGCACCAACAGACTGGCACTCAGGCTAAAAGAACACCAAGGAGACCCAAGAATTGACTAAAGGAAGAGGACTATTAGTTGAGCAGTCTCCACGGTAACGGTTCCAGTTCCAGTGACAGTTCCAGTTCTGCTCTCTCTCGTCTCTCTGACCTAGATTGATCCGCTCAATCACTCCTCCAATACAATGAAATCACCCTGGAGACGGAGTATGTGTGTGACTGTGTGTTTGAGTGACTGTGTGTTTGAGTGACGGTGTGTTTGAGTGACTGTGTGTTTGAGTGACTGTGTGTTTGAGTGACTGTGTGTTTGAGTGACTGTGTGTTTGAGTGTTTGAGTGACTGTGTGTTTGAGTGACTGTGTGTTTGAGTGACTGTGTGTTTGAGTGACTGTGTGTTTGAGTGACTGTGTGTTTGTGTGACTGTGTGTTTGAGTGACTGTGTGTATGTGCGTGTGTATGTGTGAGAAACTTTTGATAAATATGGCTCTGAAGTCAATAAGTAAAATACTGCCATCTAGTGGATACTTTCGGAAGCTAAAATATAATAATACAAATTCTATTTAAGTCAATCGTTTTTTCCCACTGGGCACAAACTGGTTAAATCAACGTTGTTTCAACATCATTTGTCATCGTATTGTGACGTGGAATCTACGTGGAAAATGTATTGGATTTGAAAAAAGTAATCAACGTATACTGTTGTTTTGAGGGTAACATTTGGCAACAACTTCATTTTAAGTTTTCCTTATTACAGTGTAATTGTATTGTAATGAATTGTAATAATTCATAGTTACACTGTAATTGGTGGTATTTGTAGTCTGTAATTACAGGAGTGTAACAACGAATGCTTGTTTCAAGCCATTGAAGAGGAGTGGGACAATGTTCTACAGGCCACAATCAACGGCCTGATCAACTCTATGCAAAGGAGATGTCGCCGCTGCATGAGGCAAATGGTTGTCAAACCAGATACTGACTGGTTTTATGACCCATGCCCCTACTTTTTTTATTAAAGGTATCTGTGACCAACAGATGCATATCTGTATTCCCAGTCATGTGAAATCCATAGATTAGGGCCTCATGAATTTATTTCAATTGACTGATTTCCTTATATGAACTGTAACTCAGTTAAAATCTTTGAAATTGTTGCATGTTGGCATTTATATTTTTGTTCAGTATATCTTGTGTGAATGTTAGTGCACTGCAATCAAGTTGAACAGAACAAACAGCTAAAGTATAACCATGACCTTTGACCACAGTCATAACCACAGTCATAACTAATCATTCACCAGGAACATAGATAGAGCTAACGATTGTTCTGTGGTCATAACCCCTCCTAGACGATAACATTTATGAAACCTCTCTCTCCAACCATGTGATATTGGTTTCACCTTTCCAGTCCTTGTAGGATCATCACACTTTATGACTTTCATTTCCCAGGTCCTCGGACACAATAAAGTATATAATAAAATAAATCACATACACAAAAGACTAATCTGAAAGGATAGTTCCAATGGGCTCAGTAGAATTCATATTGCTACCTATCCACTTAGGTCAGATTTCACTTCTCTTTCTGCAAACACCATAGAGGCAGGTTGTAGGCCCAAATAGACCCCTAAGCCCTACGCCCTACGCACTTGTGATACCTGAGTATTTGATGTAAGCAATATGGTAGTCGCACCACCTTTAACCCTCTGATAGGTTAGATGGAAGTTTCACCATATTGCTTACACCTGTCAAATTCTCTCAGTTCTCCACAAGTGCGTAGGGCTTAGGGGTCCATTTGGGATCGGGTAGTAGACTGAACAGGGACAAACAAACCTGTCTTGGCTGTCGAGTGTGTGTTGTTGACGACGGGCCCTCTGCTGGCCGTGGTTGGTCCCTGCGGGGAGTCTGTTGGGGTCTGTAGGGGAAATTACAGATCAACTTTAGTACTGTACTACCATGACCACGGTACAGTCATGTGTCATCCTTCAGGTACAGTCATGTGTCATCCATCAGGTACAGTCATGTGTCATCCATCAGGTACAGTCATGTGTCATCCATCAGGTACAGTCATGTGTCATCCATCAGGTACAACCATCCTCCTTCTCCTAATCATCAGAACTGTATAATCTCACCCTCTCCCTACCTGTAGGGATATGAAGGTCTGGACAGCAGTCCCCTGCTCCTCAAACAAACACACACACACACACACACACACAACACACACACACACACCACACACACACACCACACACAACACACACACACACACACACACACACACACACACCTGTATGGATATGAGGGTGGTTACAGTAGTCACCTGTATGGATATGAGTGTGGTAAGAGTAGGCACCTGTATGGATATGAGTGTGGTAAGAGTAGGCACCTGTATGGATATGAGGGTGGTGACAGTAGTCACCTGTATGGATATGAGGGTGGTTACAGTAGTCACCTGTATGGATATGAGGGTGGTAACAGTAGTCACCTGTATGGATATGAGGGTGGTAACAGCAGTGACATGTATGGATATGAGTGTGGTGACAGTAGTCACCTGTATGGATATGAGTGTGGTGACAGTAGTCACCTGTATGGATATGAGTGTGGTGACAGTAGTCACCTGTATGGATATGAGTGTGGTGACAGTAGTCCTCTGCTCCTCAGGTGCTGGTAGAGGTTACTCCTCAGAGAGAGAGGGTTGAAGAGAGACTCTTCTTCTAGCTGACTCACACAACTCTGACGAGAGAGAGAGAGAGATCGAGAGGAGAGAGAGAGACATACATAGCACTTCCTAACCTCCTGCCAAATGTACATTTACATTTTAGTCATTTAGCAGACGCTCTTATCCAGAGCGACTTACAGTTAGTGAGTGCATACATAATTTTTTTAAATACTGGCCCCCTGTGGGAATCGAACCCACAACCCTGGCGTTGCAAACGCCATGCTCTACCAACTGAGCTACATCCCTGCCGGCCATTCCCTCCCCTACCCTGGACGACGCTGGGCCAATTGTGCGCCGGCCCATGGGTCTCCCGGTCGCAGCCGGCTACGACAGAGCCTGGATCAAATAAAATAAAAAAATAAAAAATAAATAAGCACAAGTAACACAATTTTCCAAACCTTTATACTTTTTTTACCAGGCAGAACTAGAACGAGGCAGCCCATAAACTCTCATAAACTGTGTGTGTGTGTCTCCACAGTGACAGAACAACAGAAGGAAACACACAAACATTTCATACCAGGCATGCTGAACAGAAAACTGCACACCAGAAGGAAGCGGTCAACGTAAAATAATCAATAGGTGTTGATTAGGCCAACTCAGTACCTTTGTATTGCATGGCAAGCAACAGCCCTTTTTCTGTGTGCCTAGAAATTAATACACTGATCTGTGATTAGGCCACACTGCACATCTCACTGAGCAGAGGAAAACAGCAGCAGTACACATCAACTGAAAAAGCACCAGTCCATGATAGATGGCCAAATAAAACAATATTGCAGGCCTAGTATCCCAGAACACAAATTAAGCTGAATGCATGTTCTCTAAAAGGTCATCAGAGGAGAGTGATGTAGTTGTAGATGGGGCATTATGTTTACTTCCAGTTCCAATATCTAACAAGAAAAGTCAGCAAAAACAAGTCACACTTGTAACCTAAAAGACAGACATTCGCCTCTCCCAAAAAAAAAAAAATTTTTGGGAAACTTACCGCTACATGTTTCCTCAAGTTAGATGTTGAGTTCTTGAATGCTGAAATGTCCGTTTGTTTTGGTAGACACAGAAGACACCGCATAATGTAGCTGCTCTTTCGCATTTTTACTAAGGTAAACATGCTTTCAATATGAGGCCAGGGGTGCGGGTGGTCCTCCTCGTCTGTGTCTGCATTGCCGACGGCTAATTCTGAATTTTTTTGCGTTGCTACGACTGTAAAGCTAACCCCGTCCCGCCGCTGAGATTGAGTATGGTAACGTGACGAGACTGCACGACTACGTTTGATTGGTGAAACACAGTCACGTGGTAGAGCCTTAGCCGGAAGTCTCTCTCTCTCTCTGTCAAAATAAAAACATTAAAATAAGGCGTATGAGGGGGGATAAAGACAATGACGCGTAGAATACCAAAGAGGTAAAAAGAAAAGTAACGACCTCATTGTAGCCTAATGTAGCGGAGTAAGAGTACAGTTTCTTCTTCACAAATCTACTCAAGTAAAAGTAAAAAGTATAGTGATTTAAAACTACTCCTAGAAGTATAATTTTTTCAAAAACGTACTCAAGTAAATGTAACTCATTACTACCCACCTCTGCCCATATTTATGTTGATTTATTTTCCCATTTGTACTTTAACTATTTGCACATTGTTACAACACTGTATATATACATAATATGACATTTGAAATGTCTTTATTCTTTTGGAACTTCTGAGTGTAATGTTTACTGTTAATATTTATTGTTTATTTCACTTTTGTTTCCTATCTACTTCACTTGCTTTGGCAATGTTAACATACGTTTCCCATGCCAATAAAGCCCTTAAATTGAAATTGAATTGAATTGAGAGACATATAGAGAGAGACAGGAGAGAGATACAGAGAAAGAGAGAGAGACATACAGAGAGAGAGAGAGAGAGATACATACAGACCTACTGTAATGTCTTAAACCACAAGAAAACACCACTAGACACTATGGAACACAAAGCTTTTACTATCTCATCCTGGAATATACAAGGTCTGAGGTCATCTGCCTTTGGCCTAAAGAGCAGGAACCCAGACTTCATCAAATAAATCAGAAATACAGACATTGTCATGCTACAAGAAACAAGGTATAAAGGAGACGGACCCACTGGTTGCCCTCTAGGTTACAGAGAGCTGGTAGTCCCATCCACCAAACTACCAGGTGTGAAACAGGGAAGACACTCAGGGGGTATGCTAGTTTGGTACCAAATTACCGTACGACAGACCACGTATTCACCCTGCACACCCTAATTGACAAACAAACAAAACAAAACAAAGGCAAAGTCTTCTCATGCATTGTTGATTTCAAAAAAGCTTTTGACTCAATTTGGCATGAGGGTCTGCTATACAAATTGATGGAAAGTGGGGTTGGGGAAAAACATACGACATTATAAAATCCATGTACACAAACAACAAGTGTGCGGTTAAAATTGATAAAAAACACACACATTTCTTTCCACAGGGCCGTGGGGTGAGACAGGGATGCAGCTTAAGCCCCACCCTCTTCAACATATACATCAACGAATTGGCGAGGGCACTAGAAGAGTCTGCAGCACCCGGCCTCACCCTACTAGAATCTGAAGTCAAATGTCTACTGTTTGCTGATGATCTGGTGCTTCTGTCCCCAACCAACGGGTAGGCCAAATTTGTTCTTAACTGACTTGCCTAGTTAAATAAAGGTTAAAAAACAAAAAGAGAAAACAAGGAAGGCCTACAGCAGCACCTAGATCTTCAGCACAGATTCTGTCAGACCTGGGCCCTGACAGTAAATCTCAGTTAGACAAAAATAATGCTGTTCCAAAAAAGGTCCAGTTGCCAGCACCACAAATACAAATTCCATCTAGACACCATTGCCCTAGAGCACACAAAAAACTATACATACCTCGGCCTAAACATCAGCGCCACAGGTAACTTCCACAAAGCTGTGAACGATCAAAGAGACAAGGCAAGAAGGGCCTTCTATGCCATCAAAAGGAACATAAAATGTGACATACCAATTAGGATCTGGCTAAAAATACTTGAATCAGTTATAGAACCCATTGCCCTTTATGGTTGTGAGGTCTGGGGTCCAACCAAGAATTCACAAAATGGGACAAACACCAAATTGAGACTCTGCATGCAGAATTCTGCAAAAAATATGCTCTGTGTACAATGTAAAAAACCGAATAATGCATGCAGTGCAGAATTAGGCCAATACCCGCTAATTATCAAAATCCAGAAAAGAGCCGTTAAATTCTAAAACCACCTAAAAGGAAGCGATTCCCAAATCTTCCATAACAAATCCATCACCTACAGAGAGATGAACCTGGAGAAGAGTCCCCTAAGCAAGCTGGTCCAGGGGCTCTGTTCACAAACACAAACAGACCCCACAGAGCCCCAGGACAGCAACACAATTAGACCCAAACAAATCATGAGAAAACAAAACAATAATTACTTGACACATTGGAAAGAATTAACAAAAAAACTGAGCAAACTAGAATGCTATTTGGCCCTAAACAGAGAGTACACAGTGGCAGAATACCTGACCCCTGTGACTGACCCAAAATTAATGAAAGCTTTGACTATGTACAGACTCAGTGAGCACAGCCTTGCTTTTGAGAAAGGTCACCGTAGGCAGACCTGGCTCTCAAGAGAAGACAGGCTTTGTGCAAACTGCCCACAAAATGAGGTGGAAACTGAGCTGCACTTCCTAACCTCCTGCTAAATGTATGACCATATTAGAGACACATATTTCCCTCAGATCACACAGACCCACAAAGAATTTTAGAACAAATCCAATTTTGATAAACTCCCATATCTATCGGGTGAAATACCACAGTGTGCCATCACAGCAGCAAGATTTGTGACCTTTTGCCACAAGAAAAGAGCAACCAGTGAAGAACAAACACCATCGTAAATACAACCTATATTTATGTTTATATTTTTCCCCTTTTGTACCTTTATAACTATTTGCACATCGTTACAACACTGTATATAGACATAATATGACATTTGAAATGTCTCTATTATTTTGGAACTTCACTTTTTATTGTTTATTATCCATTACACTTGTTTTGGCAACATATGTTTCCCATGCCAATAAAGCCCCTTGAATTGAGAGAGAGAGAGAGAGAGATAGAGAGAGAGAGAGAGAAGAGAGAGAGAGAGAGAGAGAGAGAGAAGAGAGAGAGAGAGAGAGAGACAGAGAGACAGAGAGACAGACAGACAGACAGACAGACAGACAGACAGACAGAGAGAGAGAGAGAGAGAGAGAGAGAGAGAGAGAGAGAGAGAAATGTGTGTATATTTAGTCATAGTAAATCAGGTGATCTATCTACAGTCTGTACCTGTATGGTGGTGAGTGCGTCAGGTGGGGGATCCTGATTTGAGACAGGCAGTTGGCAGGGCAGCAGCAGCTCTCTGTTTGCCACAGGTTTGAGGAGGAAGGAGAGAGAAGCAGAGGGCTGGAGGAGGTAGTGGCAACTCACACCTGAACCAATAGAACTGGAACCATTAGGCTCCGAACGCACCAGTAGGAACCAGTCACGGCCTGAAAGAGGAGAAGGTTTGAGGAGGAGGCAGAGAGAGAGAGAGAGAGAGAGAGAGAGAGAGAGATACAGAGAGAGAGAGAAGAAGAGAGAAGAGAGAGACGAGAATATAGAAGATAGAGATAGAGATAGAGTAGAGAGAGAGAGAGAGAGACAGAATAGAGAGAGAGAATCAGATAGAGAACGATAGAGAGAACATTATAGAGAGACAGAATAGAGAGATAGCATTGGAGAGAGATAGAGAGAGCAGAGCATAGAGAGGAAAGAGATAGAAAAATAGATAATAGATAAACATAGTAGAGACATAGGGTAGTAGAGAAAGAGGAGAAAGAGATAATGAGAGAAATAGATAGATATAGAAGATATATATAGATAAGTATATATAGAGAAACATATAGATGATATATACATATAATAAGAGATATATATGATAGATATATAGATAAAAGCGATAGATAACATACAAGATAGAAGAGATAACAGATAGATATAGACCAGAAGATATATAGAGACAGAAGAAGAGCAGACCTGAAACACAACAAACAGATACACACACTCTCTTACTCTCCCTCTCTCTTCTCTCGCTTCTCTCTCTCTTGTCTCTCTCTCTCTGTCTCTCTCTCTGTCTCTCTCTCTTCTCTCTCTCTCTCTCTCTCTCTCTCTCTCCTCTCTCTCTCTCTCTTTCTCTCTCTCTTCTCTTCTCCTCTCTCTCTCTCTCTTTCTCCTGTCTCTCTCTCTCTCTCTCTCTCTCAATCATCCCTCTTTAACTTTCCCTCCCTCCCTCCCTCCCTCCCCTACTGACCCGGAGTGTGTGACAGAGAGCATGGAAGAGGTGATGGTTGCTCTCCATCTCGTCCCAGTCCAGTTGCCAACAGGTGGTAGGCCTGAGGATCATATTCAACTTTATTTAAGTGCATTTAAATTTGCAAAACACTTTTTTACTGTAAAACAATAAAATGAAAAGACGCAAAGAAGTAAAAGAAGATAAAACATTTAATAAAATTATTGAATAAAAACGTGATTAAACTCTGTCCATCTTACCTGATGATGAGGGGTAGGCCGTACAACACACTCTCACACACACCGTCTGCACGCAGCGCCCTGCAACACACACACATTAATATAGTAGACGCACGTACATGCACGCATGCACACACATCCTCCATAGTTGTTTTGCATCTCATGGTGTGTGTGTGTGAATGTGTGTGTGTGTGTGTATGGTATTGGAAAAAGAATGATTATAATTTACATACTGATGAGCCAACCGTCCCCAGTGGTGACATCACAGGACAATACAGCCTCTCATGCTCACCTTGGGACTCTGTGTGTGTGTGTGTGTGTGTGTGTGTGTGTGTGTGTGTGTGGGTGCTTGTGTATGGGTGTGTGTGTGTGTGTGCTTTTGGAAAATTATTACGTCAGGCATTTCGGGTAAACAGGTCTCTGTGTGTTTCAACAACAACCTTTCATAAAGCCATTCTTGTTGCATTCAGGTTCTGTTCACAATAGTCCAACTGTCTATGTGTGTATGTCAGTGTGTCAGGGTGTGTGTGTGTTCTATGTGAGTATTGAGCATGCTTCCTTATAGCTCCCCACTCTACAAATTAGGCAAAATCTTTATGCATTTATTACATTGGCCTAACTCTAAGGATTACGTTTCAAAAGCATAAAAATGTGTGTTTGCTGTGTGAGTGTGTGTGGCGTGTGTGTGTGAGAGTGTGTGTTTGCTGTGTGAGTGTGTGTGGCGTGTGTGTGTGAGAGCGTGTGTTTGCTGTGTGAGTGTGTATGGTGTGTGTGTGTGTGTGTGTGTGTGTGGTTTTGCTGTGTGAGTGTGTGTGGCGTGTGTGTGTGAGAGTGTGTGTTTGCTGTGTGAGTGTGTGATTGCTGTGTGAGTGTGTGTTTGCTGTGTGAGTGTGTGTTTGCTGTGTGAGTGTGTGTTTGCTGTGTGAGTGTGTGTTTGCTGTGTGAGTGTGTGTGGCGTGTGTGTGTGAGAGTGTGTGTCCCGCAGCCCATGTATGCATGTACTGTGTGTTTCATTAGAACCATGTCTGGTTATGAATGAGTCCATTCTTTGTAGTTCTGGAATGTCCAGGCCGGCCAATTACATCAAAGTCTGCTTTGTTCTGAAGAGTTTTAATGGGGCAGAAATGGACACTTTAACATGTCTGTGTGTGTCATGCTTTTAGGCTGCAACGCTCTCTCTCTCTGTCCTCTCTTCTCTCTCTCTCTCGCTCTTACTTGATGACTCTGAGTCTCTGAGGCGGAGGGCTCTGATTGGCTAAGCCCTTGCCCGAAACCAGGAAGTCCTTGGTGCTCTCCGTCTTGACCCCGAGGTCAGGGGTCAGAGGTAAGAGGGCGGGGCTTAGGAGACGCTCCTGCATGTCACACTTCACACACACTGCAGACAGGGACAGATGGAAAGAGAGAGACCGAGAGAGCGAAGAGAGAAAAAGATAGAGGAAAGAGAAAGAGGGGGAAAGAGAGAGAGAGAAGAGAGAGCAGAGAGAGAGAGAAGCGAGAGAAGAAGAGAGAGAGAGAAGAGTCGAAGAGAGATAGAGCGAGAGAGAGAGGAAAAAGAGAGAGAGAGAGATAGAGGAGAAGAGAGAAGAAGATAGAAAAGATTAGAAGAGATATGCAGATAAGAAAAAAAAAGAGATAAAGCGATCTAGAGAGAAGATCAGGGAGAACTAAAAAGTAATAAGGAGGATATAGAAAGAGATATCTATAATAGATAAAATGACTATCGATGATAAGAGATATTGAATAAAAAAGAGAGAGAGAGATAGATATAGAGAGCTGAGATAGAGATATAGAATAGATAGAATAGATATAGATATATGGAGTAATAAAATGATAAGAATATAGTTAAAGATATAAATTATTATATTGAAATTACAAGTTGGAAACGTATTATAAAAAAGAGGGGATAGAAAGAAGAGAGACAGAATAAGAAAGAGAGATCTGGGCACCAGGACCAGGTCTCTGTCCAGCTGTAGTAGTCCCTCCCTGTAGTCCAGGTGGTAACAACAGGTGGAGCTGTTCCTTGTTCCCGCCCTGGTCATGAAGCCACGCCTTCAACACCGTCTCCATGGCAACCACGCTGTTCTCTACCTGCTGCAGGTCGATCTCTGTACCCAACATCAGATTGGCTGGGGGAGGGAGGGGTGGATGGAGAGAAAGGGAAATATGGAGACAGAGGGGGAGAGAGAGACGGGGGAGGGAGAGAGGGAGGGATGAATAGAACAATAGACAGACACTGTTCTCTATCTCCTGCAGATAGTTTTCATGGCTCTGTTAAAGCAGATTTAGCACTTGCATCGCCAAACCACTAGAGGGCAGTAAAGCCCAGCTATTGCAGACCAACAGAAGATAGCTATTCAACTTGCTGCTGACAGACCCAAGGAACACAGGGGGGCTGTGGTAGAGCGATAAGGACAGAAATCCATATCACAATAAATGTACTGAATTATCATGATGACAATAGATAGAACAATAAGTTTATAACATTAAAGATGTGCTAAGGTAGCTTAGTGGTTAAGACCGTTGTGCCAGTAACCGAAAGGTTAAATGTAAATCGCTCCGCCATTTCCTGGTTGCTACAATTCGAATAGTTCGCCTAATTTCAGTTTATGTGACAAAACAAGCAAGTATAGTGTCGATGGTACATTTCACTGTACCATCTAAACCGCTGTGAAATATATTTTCCATAACCAAAAATATTGTATTTTCAACTGTTTGAAGCTGGTGTACAAAACCGAAAGTAAAAGATGCAAAAATTAAACTTAAGAACGGGAAGCATAGAAATAGCCCACATAGAACAGATCTACAGCTTCTTAGAATAGCTTTCAATGAGAATGACAGATCTATAAGTCACATTTCTATGTGAATTTGGTCGGGTCGCCCAAAAAGTTACATATTGCAGCTTTAATGTGGACCGGTTAGCCTGCTTTTTTGTATATTACCTTTAGAACAACTAGTACTACTTTGAATGTTGTAACTATCAATTGTATCGTTAACAATAGCCCATACTAGCAGACTTTTTTCATTCAGACTTCACATTTCACTTATCATGATTTTCGATATCAGTAAAATGTCCTTGATAACTGGTCAGTACGGTCATTTTCAGTTTATATCACCAGATGTCTGTCATTACCCATAGTCTTCCTGGTCTTCAGCCGTATCACACATAAGAGTTCAGTTAGTCTTCCTGGTCTTCAGCCGTATCACACATAAGAGTTCAGTTAGTCTTCCTGGTCTTCAGCCGTATCACACATAAGAGTTCAGTTAGTCTTCCTGGTCTTTAGCCGTATCACACATAAGAGTTCAGATACTCTTCCTGGTCTTCAACCGTATCACACATAAGAGTTCAGATACTCTTCCTGTCCTTCAACCGTATCACACATAAGAGTTCAGTTAGTCTTCCTGGTCTTTAGCCGTATCACACATAAGAGTTCAGATACTCTTCCTGGTCTTCAACCGTATCACACATAAGAGTTCAGATACTCTTCCTGGTCTTCAACCGTATCACACATAAGAGTTCAGATACTCTTCCTGGTCTTCAACCGTATCACACATAAGAGTTCAGTTAGTCTTCCTGGTCTTCAGCCGTATCACACATAAGAGTTCAGATAGTCTTCCTGGTCTTCAGCCGTATCACACATAAGAGTTCAGATACTCTTCCTGGTCTTAAGCTGTATCACACATAAGAGTTAAATGTGGATTTTGTAGAATTTCTGCATTGTAATTTCAGAAAATTGTCATAATATATCTAGTGTAAGAGTGGAATGATAGTGTTTCACAGTATTACTTACCCGCCAGTGTTGTAATTGGCTGTGATATTTGCCTGTTGTATTTTTCCCGCCCGAGTGGCATCTATTGTCAAAGTGGGAAAGCTGTTCTGACTTTGTGGCTGTGTTATCTAGTGTAAATCGGGTCCGTCATTTGCTTGTTGCTAAAATTCAACACTGTTCGCAAAATGTCCGTTTATGTGAGAAAACATGCACTGAATAGTGTAGGGAAATCATTGTACCATCTAAACCACTGTTAAAATAACACAAATAATATTGTTTTTTACAGCTGTTTGAAGCTGGTGGACCAAAGCCGAAAGTAAAAAGCTCAAGCGTGACTCTCCGCCATGTTACGGGGAAATGGGATGCGGGGGATAAACTCTAGGTGTAGAACCTTTAAGTTAGTCTTCCTGGTCTTCAGCCATATCTTGGGTTGCAAAATTCCTGGAACTTTCAATACATTCCCCTGGTTTTCCAGAACATCTGGTTAGAGGATTCCGAATTTCCTTCTTATTCCCTCCTGATTCAGGAAATCGTCCAAACGGGATTTCTGGGAATTTATTGAAAGTTCCAGGAATGTTGCAACCCTAGCCTTACAACACACGAGTTCAGTTAGCCAACAGACCGTTCAGAGATCATTATGTAGATGATCATCCAGGATATAGTGTACTATAGGGAATGGCCAATAGACACTAAAGTATATTAGCCAGTTAGTACTAGGGAGGAGGGTCTTCCATCCTCTCTTCTGTCAATGACATAGGTTATGTCTCAAACAGCACCATATTCCCTACATAGTGCAGTACTCCTCTGGCTAAAAGTAGTGCACTATATAGGGAATAGGGTGCCGTTTGAGACAGATATCCTGTAGAGAGCATTACCCCAGGTGCAAAGTTGACACGCAGGGCTGCAAGTTCTCCTGTCCAATATTCCTCCTTTTCCCATCTTCTCCTCCCTCTTTCCTTATTACCCAGTCTTTCCCTTTTCTCATCCAGTTCTGGTTTCTCTCCCCTACTCTCTCTCTCTCTCTCTCTCTCTCCCTCTCTCTCTCTCTCTCCCTCCCTCCCTCCCTCCCTCCCTCCCTCCCCCTCCCTAACCCCCCCCTCTCCCTCCCTCCCTCCCTCCCTCTCTCCCTCCCTCCCTCTCTACAGAGAGGCATTCAATATTTAGGTGTGTGTTTGTTAGGGACTGGTCTGCTGAGGCTGCTAAGACACTGATTGATGGGCTTCCATAATGTATCATCACTCAGTGCTCCCCGAACACACACACACACACACACACACACACACACACACACACACAGCTCCCTACTCAAGAGCAACAGGACAGTACGGGCTAGAGATGGGAAGCATATGAGAAATCCCTATGTGTGTTTCTAGCCAAAAGTAGTCCACTATAGGCCAGAGTAAACAGAGTGGCATTTGAGACGCACCCTGTGTCACATTGACTAACGCGACCCTCCCTGAAACAGGTGAGCCTCCCTACTGAAGCCTAATAGCCTTTCTAAACCTTCTGCGTGTCTCGTCTAATGTTCGTCTACAAGAAGCCCTGTGTGAAAGCCCTAAATGTGGCTCTGATCAAAAGTATTGATTAGGGAATCGTGGTGGGAGTCTCAAATAGCACCCTATTTCCTATATTATACCAGTGCACTACTTTTGACCGGGGCCCCAAATAGGGAACAGGGTGCCGTTTTGGGACACAAGCAGGGTGCCGTTTTGAGATGCAACCCCATGTCATTGACCCTCCCCTACCGATTTACAAGTCTGACACCCCCCTTTCTAGTGCTCGTCTAGTCAGGATTGACTGTGACAGAAGGGTGCTGACTGGACACACATACTTTATGGACATCCATGTCTGACGGGCTACGTCCCAAATGGCATCCTACCAGGGTCTATAGGGCTGCGGTCAAAATAAGTGTCCTATTTAAGGGATAGGGTCTCATTCGGGATGCATCCCAGGTATGTGGATTTGCCTCTGTTTGCTCTTCAGGGGTTAAAGGGGGGTTGTGCCCAGATTGCTGAACAGCACTATGCAGCAAATATATATCTGTGAAACGGGCAATTTAAATGTATTGACAATTGATTTATAAGCAACAGCTTATGAACCTCAAACGAAGCAATAACAACAGCAGGTTCCCAATACTGCCTGTCATCACTTCTGGTACTGTACTAGGCCTAATCGATACAGTTACAGATCAATATGCATGACCTACAGCTAGTACACGTGTGTGCGCGTGCGCGTGTGTGATGGCAAGTGTACAGTGGGGAAAAAATGTATTTAGTCAGCCACCAATTGTGCAAGTTCTCCCACTTAAAAAGATGAGAGAGGCCTGTAATTTTCATCATAGGTACACGTCAACTATGACAGACAAATTGAGACATTTTTTTCCAGAAAATCACATTGTAGGATTTTTTATGAATTTATTTGCAAATTATGGTGGAAAATAAGTATTTGGTCACTTACAAACAAGCAAGATTTCTGGCTCTCACAGACCTGTAACTTCTTCTTTAAGAGGCTCCTCTGTCCTCCACTCGTTACCTGTATTAATGGCACCTGTTTGAACTTGTTATCAGTATAAAAGACACCTGTCCACAACCTCAAACAGTCACACTCCAAACTCCACTATGGCCAAGACCAAAGAGCTGTCAAAGGACACCAGAAACAAAATTGTAGACCTGCACCAGGCTGGGAAGACTGAATCTGCAATAGGTAAGCAGCTTGGTTTGAAGAAATCAACTGTGGGAGCAATTATTAGGAAATGGAAGACATACAAGACCACTGATAATCTCCCTCGATCTGGGGGCTCCACGCAAGATCCTCACCCCGTGGGGTCAAAATGATCACAAGAACGGTGAGCAAAAATCCCAGAACCACACGGGGGGACCTAGTGAATGACCTGCAGAGAGCTGGGACCAAAGTAACAAAGCCTACCATCAGTAACACACTACGCCGCCAGGGACTCAAATCCTGCAGTGCCAGACGTGTCCCCCTGCTTAAGCCAGTACATGTCCAGGCCCGTCTGAAGTTTGCTAGAGTGCATTTGGATGATCCAGAAGAGGATTGGGAGAATGTCATATGATCAGATGAAACCAAATATAACTTTTTGGTAAAAACTCAACTCGTCGTGTTTGGAGGACAAAGAATGCTGAGTTGCATCCAAAGAACACCATACCTACTGTGAAGCATGGGGGGTGGAAACTTCATGCTTTGGGGCTGTTTTTTCTGCAAAGGGACCAGGACGACTGATCCGTGTAAAGGAAAGAATGAATGGGGCCATGTATCGTGAGATTTTGAGTGAAAACCTCCTTCCATCAGCAAGGGCATTGAAGATGTAACGTGGCTGGGTCTTTCAGCATGACAATGAT